TGGCTGAATTTTTTTTCTTCAATGTTTTGCCTCTTATTTTTGCTTTTTACTTGCTCCCAGAAAGTAAAAAACGCTGGTCAGGGTTAAAAAGGAAGAGATTTAAGGAGGAAAAAAATTACTTTAGTTTTCTACCACATTTTAAGACCTATGGGAATAAAGTTTATTGCTATTCTGATGCTTAAAGTGCTTGACAGAATAGGAAATTTGGAAAATATTATCTACAGTCCATTTTGTAAACAAAATATGTTTAAAGAAACATCTGCAGTGTTCTTCCCTAAATTGCAAAAAATGCAAGTCTCTAAAAGGGGGAAAAGATCTCATATCTACCTTCCTTGTTTCTAATTTTTAGTTTTAATGGCATTTATTTGACACAGAAAAGTTTTTTAAAAATCATATTTTTGGATAATTTATTAGCTGAATCATTTGAACTATAAAAGAAAAAAGGAAAGGAAGAGAAAGTGGTTTTGGAAGACATAAAATTGAATGTAGTCATTTGGTGTAATTCCAATGAATTGAACTCTGAGATTTCAGCTGCTCAGTGCTGCCCACTTTCAGTGTTGACATTATAAATCTCTTATATTCCCAGCAAACTGATGGTAGTTACTTGCTCAACCTGGGCTTCAAATGACTTCTACCTCTTTTGGTTATTTAATTCTACATTAGTAATCAAATACTGTGAATTAGTTGACATTGACATTTAGCAATTAAAATATTGTAACTCCACAGTTGTGCCAAGATTGTTTTCTAAGAATCATGAGAACAGAATCTCTAGGAACTGGTGCGTGGGCATATAAAAATGCCCTGGGTTAAAATGTACCCTCCCTTACCCCACATCATGGGAAAGTAACATTTTCTGAGCAATTATGCCAAAAAACTTACACATTTCTCAATATTCTCTTTTTGAAGTAGATAGGATTCAAATGGCTCCATGACGACCTGTGCAACTTTTGCAGTTTTTCTTTTTGCTGCCAACCTGGATCACAACTCTACTTACCTGGGCATATCTGTTTAGATACTCTTTTTATGAGGCAGAATACCAAGGTGGTAGCAAAGGCAGATTCATTCATATTTTTATTTTCCTGCTCAGACAGCCATGTCTTTTAGCCCATTCGCCTGACTAATCACTGCTTTATTTCAACTAGCTTTTGAAAAACCATTTGGAAATCATCTAATACAAGAGAGACTTGGTTTGTTAGCAAAATATGTTCAAAGAAACATCTGTGGTTTTCTCTTTAAACATCAAAAAAGAATGAATAAGTGAATCTCTGAAAAGGGAAGACTCTTCATATCTACTCTATTTGGCATAAATATTCTGTGTTTTTGGAATAAATGAATGTTTTCTTAGAGTTTATCTTTGCAAAAGCTACAACTGGTGGTTCATACGCTAATGTCTAACATGGAGGCAGAGGATAAGTGTCCAAGGTAAAAAAGAAAATAGAGGGACCAGTGGCTATAGGAAAGGACAAAGACATTCATGTGGTTTGTTTCAAAATTTAGAAGTTCATAATTCATCACTGAACCACTTATAGAATAAAATTATCATTGCTATCACAATTGGTGAAATAAAATAAATGATTTTTTCATTACAATATATTTTTTTGCATGTGATTTAGAATATTTGGTCTTCAGTTTATTAAACCAAACTGAGAAAAAGTTCGGTAGAGTATTAGTTATCCTCTAAATCAGAAGTCTGCAAACTTTTTCTGTAAAAGAGCAAATGCTAACTATTTTCCGCTTTGCGAGCCATATAGTCTCTGTCACAACTGCTCGACTTGGGTATTGCAGCACAAAACAGCCACACACAAGTCACCGTACACAATATGTAAATGACTGAGTACCGCTGTGTTCTGATAAAACTTTGTTTACAAAAGCAGGCCAGATTTGGCCCATGGCTGCTATGATTTATTTTCTGACATAAAAGATTAATATAAATTATCCTAAAACAAAATCAGAGGGGCCAACCCAGCCCTCAGCAATGAGCAGGAGAGCAGCCACACCCAGAATCAAGAAGATGCTGGGATGGGCCAGACACAGGGCACCCATGACATGAGGGCCACACTCAGTGAAGCTTGACCCGAGGAAGGGCTTTTTGCAGGGATAAGGCTGCCTCTGCTGATCTGGCAGCCAAGGAATGACCCCTTTCTCCCTCACTGCCCTTTGGGAAGGGGATGACAGGTTACCACATAGAAGGTCTTTCTCCAAATTCAAGAGACCCACTCCAGCCTGGGTGACAGAGCAAGAGCCTATCTCTCTTAAAAAAAAAAAAGATAATTTTCCTTTCCTGTGGCGAGTGTGATCTCTTCATCATGTAAAAAAGAGCCAAATGTAACAAAGATGCAAATACCCAAAGGTTTTTTTCAAAGTGGCCATTTGGTATCACTGCTAGAGCTATAGCCAGTCCAGAACGTCACTTCAATGATAGAAATGCCCAAAGAATAATCCTGCCACGGTGCAGCTTCTCCTTTAAAAATTTCATTTTTTTTCCTTAAAAATATTTAGAAGTACTATGATTTGACCATACTCAACTGGATACTTTTATCTAACCTTGGTCTTTCTTTAAGGAAACTGCAAATTGGAAAAAGAAATTAGAAAGTATTTCAAGCAGGAAAGCTGTATACATGAAAGTATTCCTCTGACAGTGCTAGCTCTGACACTTCATCATACATGAAGATGTGAATCGATTAACATTTAGAATACGGCGCATCCACTATCAGGGGGCTGGAATAGATCTGTGGTCTCACGTGACTGTACCTTAAGAAATCTGGCAACGCTGTGGTTTGCCCTCCTTGTTTCTTCAAGCGCATCTTTGTATTTCCAAATCACGTGGTCACACAGGACCATCACGAGATTGTCCAATTCATTTTGATAAGATTCAGGAAATCTTTGAGGCCGGGAAAGCTAAGGAAAGAATGGATTCTTTCTTTATAATGTGGCATGTGAAATAGTAAGCCAGGGAAAAATAAACTGGAAGACTTACTTCATTTTACAGATTGTCAAATAAAAAGAGTCCTTTTGAAAACGTGAAAGCAATAATAAAATAGAAACCTTTTAATTTCAAGGTCATGATTTCCATTATTTTTAATTTAATATTTCCTTCTATTTTGGTCAGTATGTTTTTCACTTTTTCCTTAAGAAGTAAATTATAACATGTTAATTGCAAACTACAGAAACAATGTAGAAATGTACAATGTAAAATGTGAACCTTTTCTGTACCTTCTCACTTCTTAATTCCTCTCCTTTCCCTCTCAGGGAATAACTACTACTAATGGTTTAATGAATATTAATCTAGATTTTTTTGGACATAGAGTTCTCCATTTAATTTAAAAATAAATTATTATTATTATTTTTTTTAAACTCGGAATTCCCCCCAATGAATGAGTATAAGAAATCAATAAATGAATAACTAGATGAGTACAGCTATTGGTTTAAAATGTCCTCTAATACATGGTGATTCCCAACTGGTCTTAACTCCCCTGGTCAGTGGGACCTCACAAGTCAAGCTGCAGTAGAGCTTGGCTGTGAGATGACATCATGTCCATGGAATTAAACTGTCTGGACCCCCAAAGACCACTCAGGCCTGGGAATCCATCCCTCCTGTTTGGACTCCTGCACATGAGGGGAAAGTTTGAGGCAGCTAAATTGTCCTATCTCAGCTTCTACCTCTTGATAATATTCATTCATTTTTACATGTTGGCTTTAAAAATGAGACCCAGCCACATTTTCCCTGTAGACAGAAACACGGAATTTAGAGGTAGACCGAAGCATGTATTTCCAAATTACGAGCACCCAGCCTTCCATGCTGCAAGAATAAAAATCATGAAGGCTGAAGTTAGAGGAGTTGTAAGACAGAGATTTAATGGGATTTAGTGGGATGTTGGAGCTGGCTTAGACTGGTTTTTATTTTTTTTAAACAGTGAATTTATCAGGACACCATTGTATAGGTATTTTGAGAATCTCATGGTTATTTTTTGCATATAGTTTAAGTTTATTGTTGAAATAAAATAAATCCATAACTAATAGACCTACTTGACTTGATCACACTCATTATTTTTTATTCTGTTCCACGTACCTTGGGCAACAAGGGTAAGCAATTCACCTACACAACAACAGCAACAATCACTTTCTAAATAATTGAAGCACATTTGTATTTTCCTGTTTTCATTTTGTTAGTCCTCTAAGATCCATTAAACATACCAGTGCCTGCATTTTCTCCATATAACATGTATTAATGCCTTGGGCTTTGACATTCTTTTTGTTCCTTCCTCTTTATTACTGTCCTGTTGCCCACTCCCATGTTTAACCCAAAGATGTGCTGTCTGATAAATACACGAGTAATTTTTAAGTTGTTGTCTGGAAGTATAAAGGCTCGAGGTGGAAGAATTCTTGCACTGGAGATTGTGGATTTTCTGTCTCAGGACAGGAGAAGAAGGCAGTGAGACGTGGTGGCCCAGCATGCTCCCTGAGCCACAGAGCTGGACCATGAAGGAGCATCTGGGCTGTGGTATGACAGAGGTCACAAGGAATAGGCTCAGGATACATAGGCTGAATTTCAGGCATGTGGGAGTTTTGTTAGGAACAAGGAGGGTGATGGGAAATACAAGGATTAGCCAGATCAATGAAACTTTTGCTAGTAGCGATCAGTGTTGAGAAGGCCTTCAGTGGTTCCCAGGAAATAACAGGAACTCACCTTGGCTAAGAGGCACCATCTGCCCAACCACGTTGCAGAGGCCCTAAATGAAAGCCCCTGCCACACCGCAGTAAGTGCGTACTGTGATGATGCTACCAGTTCTCCTCCAAAGGGCCCTGCAGCTACTTACTCAGGCCCCTGTGCACTGGGGAGAAGGGAATACTCACATATTTCAAGGACTATTGGACACAGGATCTGAATTGACACTGATATCTATTAATAGAAACCAAAGCATCACCATGCCTGCCCTGCTAGAGTGAGGACTTACAGGGATAAAAATAGGGTCATGGCTAAAGTTCTGTTAACGGCAGGTCCACTGAGTTCAAATAATTGATATTGGCAAAATTGGCATTTGGAGTAACCCTGCACTGTGTGCTTGTCCTGTGGGGCTATCCTAGTGGGGAAGGCCAGGTGGGAGCTTCTGATTTTGCCTCTCCCTCACCAAGAGAGCAAATCAAAATAAAATTGCAACCACCACCATGCCTACCCCATGCAGTATTGTTCTGTTTACTCTCCAGGTGCGGCAGGGGCAGTGTCAGAGGTCTCCCCTTGGCCTTACCCACAATGGGAGCTGAGATAAATACTCATGTGTGGAACTCAGGTGATCCACCTGGGTGCTTCTTGGTCTGTAACTGTGAACGGTCACATGCAGCAACCCTGGTGTGAGTAGAGTATGACGACCAGGGGCTCACACCACTCTGGAATGAGGGTGTGGGTTACATGACCAGGTGAGTCACTAAGACCTTCAGAGCTGCTAGCTAGGGCGAGAGGAATCTGGAATGGACAGCAGAGGAGGGAGATGATGAGTTTCATATGGGCTGCCGGGGAGACCAACTGCCGTGACAAGGGCTGCAGTTAATCCCACCGGACTCCCTCTTCTCAGCTTCCTTTCAGGAAGAGAGGCGGTGGGAACTTGGAGGAGCGGCTTTACGAACATGTGCAACACACCGCGCAAACTGTGGACTGTGGCAGCCAGGAATGTGCATAGCTCAGGTGTTCCTTCAAGAGAGAATCTACGGGAAGGAATGTGGAGAGCTGCTGTGTCTTGGGATCCACTCCGGCATTAATGCCAAGGCTGCTCTCTCCCAGGCTGCTCCCGCCAGCGACTGAGCCTGCCGAGGGCCTAGAGCCAGATGCCCTGCCCAGTGCGGGGCTCTGTCCTGAGCATTCTTTGCTCTCAGACTGCCCACCCGCCCAGCTAAAACTTTCTGAGCACGAGGATCTTTCAGCCAATCTTCCTTCTTTTTCTTTTTCTTTCACAGGTCTCAGATCTTTGTGTTCCTTTTTCCTGTCCCTTTTATCCTTTATAGCTATTTCCCCCAATAAATACTTTGCACTTCGATTTTTGTCCTGGCATCTGCTTCTGAAAAGTTTGTACTGACGTACAGGATCATTTTCCCTACCTAAAAAGCAATGAACATAAATTGCTAAAGTTTACAAAGCAAATAAAAATGGAACTAATGAGAGCATATTCATAGGTGCAATTGTTGGATAATGTTATAATACTGTGTTACCTATGTTCTTACCTGAATTTTATTTGTGTCAATCAAGTGCTGTGCCATTGATTTCAGGATAATAGCAAAGAAGAACCAGGAATGCTGTTAGGAAAAAAAAAGATGGTAAGGAATGTATTTGCCTATGGTAAAAATAATAATTCTGTTCTTTATGATATCTAATATTACAATATTTTTCTCTTAAAATGTATTCCTTGAAGTTAAATGAATTAGGGCAATAATGTATTCGCCATCACGGTAGGATGATCTTTATCAAAGTTCTAATGGCGAAAGTAAGTGTCAGACATTCCAGCTTCTCAATCATCTCCCAAAATATTTTAAAGTAAAACAAGTTACCAGTTAGCTCGACATGACTGCCTAAGCAATTGTTTTATGAAATGTTTATTCATAGGATGTTGTTCTATTTGTTTCACTTAGTTAAACAAAACTAAACAAACTTTTTATATCAAAATATATCATAGCAGGCCCACCGCTGAAAGTTGAAGGGCTAGAGGTGAGAGTGAAAATGGAAGGTCATACATCTAAACATCTAGAATTTGGAAGTCAAGCTGACAAAGTGTAAAATAAAATATGTTTGATCCTCCTACTTTACAAACATAACTTCATAACACCTTGCAATGCTGCAGCAGAATGGGGGGGCCTGGGGAGAGCAGGGTCCACCCCTCCCTTCTTGCCCAAGGCTCTGTCCTGCACCTTGAGGGGCCTGGTGCACATGTGAGACTGTCCTGCACACACACCCAAGTGCTGTCCACAAACCAGCCTCCTCTCTGCCACAGACGCCTCCTTGGGGTCCAGGGCTGCATTCAGGCATCGAGATCTGAGCTCTGGAGGGTGGACTTGGGAAAGGCCTAAGCAGGCCCTGGAATCAGCCTACAGGCCCTCGAGACGGGGCACCTGGGCTTCCTTCCAGGTTTAGAAAGGGAGGTGGGGGCTCCTAGTCCTCTTGCTTTCTTAGCTACTGTCATACCTTGGCCTATGAAGATGGGTGCGGATAGAGACCAAAGCACATCCTGGGATGGGTGCCCCTCTTTCCTGGGTGATAACTATCCCAGATACAAAAAGTTGTATCATATAATACAGTTTCAAGAATACACCTCCCTCCTCCTCTCTCCTTCCCTCTCCTTCCACCACAGGTACGTTTTGAATTTTGTGCTAATCATTCCCTTGCTTTACTTCATAATTTTGCTCCCAATATTTATGCATTGAAGGAATATTTAGTTTTCCCTGCCAATGAACTTCACATAAACAGAACCATCCCGTATGTGTTCTTCTGGGATTGCCTTTTTCATTCAACAAATTCTGTTCTGTGGTTCTTCGATGTTGAAGCATGTAGCTGGGGGTCACATATTGTCATGACATCACATGTATAATCACCATTTACTTATCTGCTTTACTGTCCACGGACATTTGAATTATATCCAGTTTTAGGCTGATAACAAACAATGCTGCTACTCCAGGCATGGTGGCTCACGCCTGTAATCCTGGCGCTCTGGGAGGCCAAGAAGGGAGGACTACTTGAGGTCAGGAGTTCGAGACCAGCCTGAGCAAGAGGGAGACCCCGTCTCTACTAAAAATAGAAAAAATTAGCCAGGCAACTAAAAATAGAAACAAAAGTTCGCCCAGCATGGTGGTGAGCACCTGTAGTGCCAGCTACTCTGGAGGCTGAGGCAGGAGGATCGCTTGAGCCCAGAGTTTGAGGTTTCTGTGAGCTAGGCTGATGCCATGGGGCACTCTAGCCTGGGCAACAGAGTGAG